TAAGATTTCTGTCATTTTTGTGTTTTTATAGTCGTGTGTATTTAATGAATATGCTTTTCGAACTAGTGTTTCGATACGTACTGCTAATTGTTTGATGGTTTCATTTGGTAATCTGCTAATTTCATTACATAAAACTCTTTGTTGTTGTTTGTTTCTTTCGGAGTCAAACATTTTTGAAAACTCTTGTGTAAATCTTTTCCAATTTGATTTTATTTCTATAGGCAATACTGAAAACCATTTTTGGGCTGCGCCGTCTAGGGTTGTCTGTATCAACGCTGTGCGTCGATGTATCCAATTTTGACGTAGTGGCGTATTAATTGGTTCAGGTCCTATATTTAAAATTAAATTTGCTGTTACTGCATTTAGATAATCTTCTACAGAATATTCAGGGTCTGTTCCTGTGAACACCATTAATGGTTTGTTTGATGTTATTGATGATCCACCCATAAGGTATGGATTCATTGTCATTTGTAATGATTCTGCTGCATTTGGCATTTGTGAAAAATTCGAAAGTTGATTTTTTGTTATTTCGTTTTGTTGAAGGTAATATGGAAGTGGTATTTCATTTTGCATTTGTGTTGGTTGATACGAGTGTGTAATCATTTGGTTTTGTGGCTGAATTGGTTGAAAAGATTGTGTATTAATTGGGTTTTGCATTTGCATTGGTTGTTGATTTTGTGTATCTGTTGGGTGTGGAGAAAAAATTCTATGATATGTATATGGTTTTTGCACTCCTTGTCCACGATATTCTTGAATGTATGGTGCAAATATATCTGGTTGTAAATAATCATCATCAGAGGATAAATAATCCGTTTGATGAGATGCTTGCTTTTTATTTTTATTCTGTTGAAAGAATGGGTAATTTTCACTACGATCCTGTGGAGGATGTGAATTAGTTTGAAAATTTACTGAGTTGGTTGTTGCCATTGGGTTATCCCAATATCGAGATCTTATCTGATTACTATTATTTTTTCGTGGGGGATAGTTTGTTTTTGGTGAATGTGCGTAATTATAATTGTGTTCCGCAAAAGTGTTTCTTGTGAACGTTCTGTGTGTTTTTGACGGTATTGTCATGGGTCTATATGTTTGATAATCCATTTGTGAATATTTTGGAGCAACCGAAGGTTTAACGGTTGATTGTAAGGTTACCTGTGCTAGTGAAGTGTTTGTGTTTCTTGGTGTTGTTAAATTTGGACGTATTGGTGAAATACTTTGTTGTGTAGTTGTTGTTGTTTGTACAATTTCTTCATTTATGAAGTGTGATGGTGTCTGAATATCTTGCTGAGTGAGATTCCTAGTTCCATTAAGGTTTTCATTGTGTATGACGGTCGAGTTTAAGCTGTTATTTCGCGTATCCGGTAGAAATGTATTGTAGTTTAATGGTGTTGCATCAATGGTTAATGGTACTGCTCTTACATAATCTCTGGTATAAGATATTGTACTTATTGCTTGACTTGCAATTGATTGTGGGATATTTATAAACGCATAATGAGACCATTCGGGGTCCCAAACGTAGTTTGACTGTTCTGTGATGGCGGTATCATCGTTTGAATTTTGAGGTCTGAAATTTTTTCTTGCTTGTGAAATTAAATCTATATTATGTGTGAAATAATCTATTATAAACCATGCCAAAATTTTTTGTAAGTCATGTTTTGTATGTTGTGAAACATCATCTTTGGTGAAATTTTCTTTAATTATATGTAGAAAAGTTGAAAATAGTGTGATTTCATGTCGTACCTTTATATGTTTGGATGTCTCTGTCGGTGAGACACTTGGGATTGGAATTTCGTTCTCTAATATTGAGATATAACTATATATTATGGCAAAAACTTCATTAGTGAATATGGAGTTTGCTCTTTGTGAGTTATGATATTGTATGCTTTTTATGTATTCTGAGAATACTTTTGAAAATTCTAAATCAAGGTCGTCTGTTTGAATTACATATTTGCGGTGATTCGGGTTTGGTGAGCTGAATTCTATGGTGTAGATTCCGTATTGTTGTGTCAAATTACATATATCTTTCAGATAGTGATCAATAATTTGTGTTTTGATCTTTACATCTGGGAACTCTGCTTTACATGGGCTGATTCCGGGTTCAAATAAATTTAGTAGTAAATTCTTGCAAACTATATGCTGTCCTCTATCATTAGGTGCATCTACGAGGAAGGGGAAGATATCGTCATCATCTGGACTATCTTCACTTGGAGTGTGTGTTTGGCTCATTTTTTCGTTTAATGACTGTTAATAGGTAATTATCGATGTGTCTAATTGGTTGATTCCAATTATATAAATGTACTGGTTTGTGTTTATATTGCTTTTTTATTCTTCTTTTTCCTCTTTTTGATGAATTTGAAGTTGTTTCTGAGTCGGAAAAATATAATTGATCGTGAATGGGGCAATTTTTATCTATAGATTCTTTTAATTTATAGAGTTCGTCTAAATTGCTGGCTTCTGATTCTGAAAATGCGTTTCTATTTTTGGAAAATCTTTTTCGTGTTATTTGTCTTTGTTTAGTTATTATTTTTCTTTTTAGTGTTTGTCGTTTTGTTCTAATATATCCAACTGTTTGTGTGTGAGGTGTGATTACAAGGTCGTATTTTTTGTTTTCTATTTCACAGTTGTGCAAAACGATTGTTTGTTTGTTTCCTAGATTTTTAAATGACATAAGGTTTAGGATGATGGATGCAAAAAGTTGTTAGATGATTTCTATTTTCTTAAATTGTTAGTCCTTACGATTTTTTGGTTAGCTTAACCTGGGTCTATTTGTTCAGGGTTGGAGAGAAAAGTATATCGACTCCGAAGAATGATTTTTTACTTTCTCGTGGCTAGTATAAGCTAAGGTGTTAACTTACTTAATCTTACTAAAGGGTAGTGATTGTGTTCAAGGGTTGGAGAATAGTAAATCGATCCACAAGGTTCAGGTATAATTAGAACGCGAGTAGTTCGTTAGATACTATTTTAAACTTACTAAGTCTACGATTTATCCTGGGTCTGGTAAGAGGAGGGTTCAAGTGAAGGATGAATAACCGAAGTTCTTCACTGTTTATCCTAATTTGAATGATTAGTTTTGTTCAAAAATTTCTTTTAGTCTTGGGTTTTTTGAAAGGGTTGGATAGTGAATCGACGTTTGAGGTCGTTAGACACTAGCTAAGTGGGTGGGGGAGAACAAAATTGTTCTTTTTGATCCAAGGATAGGCCTTGATGATCAAGTTTAAATTTAATTAAATAGAAAATGAATTAAGATCCAAGGATAAGCCTTGATGATCTGATTTTAAAATTAAGTGAATTTAAGTTTAAAATGGTTTAAATTTGTTTAAGAAAAGATTTAGTGTTTTGATGATATTAGTGAGCTTATGATTGCTGTTATGTTTTAGGTGATGAAGCTGAGACAACTGATGATTTTATGATTACTAACAGTTTATTGTCATGCTACTAATTTTTATTTTGATTTTCAATAAATATTTTCCAAACATGTTTTATATAATACTGCAGAATTTTAGGAAAACGATCTGAGATATTTTTATCAATCGTTATTGTATATTAATATTTTGTTTAGCGCCTGTAATGATCATGAAGATTGGCTTCAAGATTCAAGTTTGCAAATGAAAATCTAAATTCATTGCTAATAAGATTCTAAATATAAAAGTTTGTGTTGGCTTTTGCCGTACTATCATATAACTATTTGGTAAGTTTCTACTTTGTCGTATGTCGTCTCTGGTTCGAGGTCTTCTTCCAATTCCGGGTAGTTCTATTATCGTTCGGAATATTGGCTCTGATCTATTGAGTCGTAGAGACATTTCGATTAAATTATCATCGTATCACATTTTAAAAATGTTTTGTCTAAATTCTAATCTATTTTTGGTTAATTCTAAGCTATTAAGGTCTTGTTCGAGACTTATGGTCGCACCAGATGAGTTATGACCGAGGTGGTTAACTCATAGAGTAATTTCGGATAGGGTACACCGTCTGCTCGTCACGCTATCTTATTTTCGGCCGGATAGATTCGTGCAACTTCTTAGTCTAATACCGATCCTAATCTTACTCTTATACTATCTAGTCTCAGGTTGTTTAACTAGTCTCTGCTAGGCTCAATAGATCTAGGGTATACTGGTTTATTGCGGCTGCTGAAGTTCTCTTGGAGAGTCAACTAATTTCTAAGTTAAATTCAAATCTCTCTGGTGCTGAAATTACAAGTAATTTCAGCACTTACAAATAAGTGGGTTGTTAGTTAGATGGATCATGATTGGTTAATATTAAATACTTTACAGTGGTAAAATATCTAATTTATCCAATCATAAAATGTAGTTTAGATCAGGTTCCAGCTCGCTAAGGCGGCAAAAATCAGTTTTTAGACATTTCAACACGTAAAAACAGAATAAAGAACATATTTAACCCATGTAAAAACACCAAAATATAGTTAATGCCAAAGCAACTGCATCGATCAAAAAACGGTTGTTTCAGGTTCAGGTTAATTAGATTTTTTGAAATTATTCTTTACGGATGAAGTGAAATTATAATCGATTTCGACGTTGAAGTGAGCATTTTTAGATCAATTAACTTCGCTCAGATTCTTTGATCTAAAAGGATATTGCCAACAATTTGGCATTAACTATAGAAAATTTAAGTTATGTAAAAAAGCACAGTTTTTCTGACCGATAAGGTTGCTCAAGGTCACGATAAGGTTGCTGAATTTTAACTATACGTTCCGACAACGACGCTCGCAAAAAACAGCCTTCAATTGATTTGACTACCTCGTGAACAAAATGAATGCGAGTAGTTTTCGAACGCGGCTCAAAAACCGAGGCCAAACATCAAAGCTATCGGAAAAAATTGAATGACATTTGGTCGTTTACATGGGAAATTTTAATTTTTCATTCGTTAATTTGCTACGGATCCTGACACTTACTCCCGGAAACTAATTTCACGAATTGTTCCTAACCAAGTAATAGTAGAACTGATCTCCTAACTCAGCTCTAAATTTAGGCAACAGCTCGTTTGTTACTTAATGTAACTTCTGCTCAATCTTTAGCAGACAAGAATTTCGCGGACTGTACTCAGATACTCAGAGAGTCTTCTGTATTAAGATAATTACTCGTTTAAAGCCTGGGATCTTATTATTTCCTACCAAGTCTTGCACAAAACATTAGTAAATTCAAACACGAATTTATCCTGTTGACATTTTTTATATTTTATTTGCAGTCCAAAAAGTACAATTTGATGAGGAAGACACACTTAAATTGAAGTCCACAAGTGATCAGTGGCGGCAACTAGTTTTTATAACTCTTACTCACATTCGTTATTGTGAAATACAGCGGGTGACTATTATGGGTTGCATGAGCTCGAAACAATTGCTGTTCAAAGTACTCATGGCAAATGAGGCGGGCAAGTACGATATCTCTGGCTATCTCCTATTCCGGGAGTCTCAAGACAACGACTGCCCTGCAATAAGGTCCAGTCACGGGGAGCCAGAATTAGTGCTTTTGAATCATTGGAAGGAAGATATGGCAAGGGAATCCAGGAGCTTCTCTTGGAAAATCAGTCAGATTAAGACTTATGGATACTGTCATGGAACATTCATGTTTGAGTGTAGAGCAACAGCTCCGCCTGTGACTTCAAATGGATCGATGCAAGTAGCGTGTAGTCGAAATTTAACTAGGAGTGCCAGAGGAGCTGGCACCAGGTTCCTGTTTAAGACTCCCCAGGCGCGACAGATTTTCAAACTTCTGCAGTTGTGGTGTCACGAGGAGGCTCTTAAGATGGAGAGGGGGTTCGACAGTACTGTGTGGGGTAGACATGAGGACAACATGGCGGTGTGCCAGATGTCTGCGAGTGGAGAAAGGAGTTTGATAAGGGCCAGATCAGACTTGTGCTCTGAAGACGGGGACGGGGTCCAATTGGTGAGAGTTGAATGTGGCGGTGATGAGTCCTTGTATCGACCCCGGAAGGCAGTTCGGAACCGTTACGTGGAGGATTTCAACAACGAGAGTAAGAGGGATAGTAGTAGGCGAAGCTTTAACTGGCAGGAGCCCATTCAAGAGGAGGATGGAGAAAGTGCACATGCGATTACTAATTATCAAACAGGGCTGTACATGAATGAGTCTCTTGTGACTCATGCCAGGGGTCCCACCCAAAAGAGACGTGGCGAGTATAGCAAAATAGTGGACAGAAATAACAACAACTCCTTCGCGAATCCATGCGTGGGAGACGAGCAAAATTCAAACATATACTCGGCGCTACAGTCGGTGAGTGTTAATACTATATAGTTAATAAGCGTCATTTTGACAATTATACTTTTTTTTACCTTCTGCTAATCTATTTGCACCCGATGAAATGGATCTATGATTCCCCTCCGGTACTTTTTTACTCCATTTTAGACGGCGCTTACTACCAATCTTTTCAAACTATGCAATTGTGAGTCAGTTTTGACTAAGTTTTGCCAAAAACGGACGCAATTTGTGTGGAGAAAGGCAATGTTTCTGCACCTGAGAGAGCTTTAAAAATAAAATTGACTAGCATACATTATCAAAAACCAAAAAAATGTTGCAAAATTGTCATGACACAAAAAATTCACCGTCATTCTTGTGATGCGTTTGATTGAAGTTCAGCCAAAAAGTTTTCACAGTTTACGAGATGACACCATTTATTTGACTAAAGCCGCCATTAAACTACCTTGAAACTTTTCTATATATATACTTCTAGCAACATTAATTTTGGAGGCATTTATGCAAATTTATGTTTTTTTTTTCGCCTAAGGGTAGATATTATCCAGCGGCTCACGCTGTGATATTTTGCGATGCCATTCGACCACCCTGGATTTTATGGAACCTTATGTGTTTTCGTTGTGTACTTGCATAAATTATTTTGTGCTAGATTTTTGTCGAGCGGATATGTGCAGTCGTGCTAGGGATTTACTAAAACGTAAATCAGTATAAACTACGGATTCAGTTTTTCTACTAAAATTGATAACATTTGTCTTTCTGTGCAGCAGAAAGTTGACTTTACAGGCAGTAAGCTGAAGTATAAGAAAAACAAAACTTTTGAAACCTCATGACTTTGTTGGATTCGCCACCTTCTATACACCGGGCGGTAAAAACGAAGTGTAATCCACATGTCGCATAACCTGGCAGTCACTACCATAGATACCTAGATACCATAATAGCAGCAAAGATACTGGAGATCAGTGGGCCTCAATGGGTTCCCTGTGGAACGCCGAATAACTTATAACCAGGCGAGCTCAAGTTTCTTCAATGAAACTCTTTGTTTTTTTATCAAACGTTATTAATTAGGGAAGCAGACGATGATGATGATAAGAAAGCTTATTTTAAACTTCTTCACATTATCTAATTGGTGTTTCAATTGACACATCTTTGAAAAACCCCTGTTTTGAAACGCAAAAATGTCATTATAAGGCTAAGTTTTGTTTGACCTTTTTAGTTTCTCGAACTGTTCTTTGTTGTATCACCAGTCACCTATCACTATCATATTTTCTCAAAGCACTCGCGTGATTATATTGCAAAGTTGATGACAAATTTTCAGTTAAAATTAGAAACTGGCAAGCTTACAAAGGGAAACAAATTGGATAGTCGAGTTATTACTAAAAACTTTTTTCCATAAAGTTTTAGCATGAATGCAGTACTTATCCAAAATTTCTCTTGAGTTCATTATCAGGCAATTGCAAAAAGTTATTGTTTTTATCAGGTAATTTAATAATTATCAAGATGGGTGCACTGACTCAAAAGTTTAAGCGTAATGGATTGTATGGTCTTGTTTTTTGTATTTCTTGTTGGATTAGATGAGTTCGAGTTTCGTGTTTCGTCAATGATTTGTAGTTCTTTAAGGTCGATGTTGTAGAGGTTTTGGATTTTTGCAGAAAAAGTTGAAATTATATTTCATGTCTTGTTTAACTGTCTTAGTTATATTAAATCCGTTTTTCATATACGGTTCTGAATTTTTGGTGTAAGGGTAACCTCTATGCTTGGCAATAAGGAGGTCGATGGTTGAAACCTGGTTTTTTTTTCAGTAAACTTCGAGATAATTTATATATCTGACGGTCGAAAAAAAAACTGAAGGACTATCGTTTGCCCTTTTTAGTTGTCAATATTGATTATTTTTATTTTACCAATTTCGATGCAAGTGATTCCTGGTATTGCTTTTGGTTTTGCAGTTTGCTTAAGGAACAAAGTGACTTTTTAGGCCTTCATTAGATTTTTACGAATTTGTACGCAATAAATTTGTAATTCAATTTTCCCTTTTTTTCTTTCCTTAAGAGTCACGAACAGAAATCTTATGAAGTCCTGGTTTTTTTTCAGGAAAAAGTCGTTAAATATGATGTTTTTGGACAAAAAATGACCCATATGGTGTATGCTCAATTGTTTTCGGTTCATATAGAGCTGTCTAAATTTTGATTACAATACAGTCTTGAAAATGGTCTCTGTTAAATGATTTCTTCATATTTCTAAATGAGACAAATCTACGAAAGTTTGAAGATATGAAAAACTTTGGTTAACTTGTGAGATAGCGAATCTCGTTTTTTTTTATCTGATAGCTGATAATGTTGCTTCGCAAGTGGTACAAAGCTCTGGTTGTTCCATGAAAGTAACGGAGTATTTGTATTCCGGTTGGGTTTTATGATTCAGACAAATTTCGACTTTGTAACTAGCCATTATTAACTGGGATTTTTATATCATTTGAAAGGTATTGTTGTCCTGAGCTTAGATTTGAAACGATATTTTACCTGTGATCATTTTTCGTAAAGTTATATGGGTCTTAAGTCGTCTTGGAAATCGTTCCAAATTGGTTGGAGGAAGCTTATTTGATTTGTATATTTGACTTGTTATCAGGAGCGAAATCGATCACTTTCTATTATATATGGCGTGTGAGGGGACAATTTTCGCAAAAACCTTAATTTAAAGAAAATTTATATATTATATATTTTTTTACATTTAATATTTCGTCTAGTTTTATTTTCTTACATTTGATTTTTCATGTTATTACTGCTCCAGAGACCTTAAAAGGCGGTCAGAACATTCAGGGCCTCAACCTGATACGAGCAGTCTTGTTTGAAAATATATTTTATTTTTAAATATATTTCACAAGCAGTTAGTTGAATTGACTAATTCTGCACATTTAGTGTAGATTGAGTTTCAGTCATGAGATCAGTTGTCTTTTGTTTCCTGAAATATTGTTTTAAGAATTTTGCGAAGTTTGTTTTACAATAACTGTTTTAGTTTCGCAATTTTTGATCGATTTTTAAATTTATTTCAAATTATGTTTTTTGATTTTTGTACAAGCAGGTAGTTGAATCAACTGATTCTGCACATTGAGAGCAGAATTAATATCCAGCTTGAGATTCGATGTCGTTTTTTGCCGGCAACCTTGTTTTGAGAGTTCTACGGATTATGTTTCACAAAACGTACTGATTGGCTTTTGAACTGCTTTTTCTTCAAGTTATTTCATCTGATCATCTTTTTTTCCATCCTAGAAAAGCATTCATTTGAAACCTTGTTTGTGAAATATTATGAGTTAAGAATCCAGTTTTTTGGGAACTTTGTTGGTTAGTGTAAAGTTTTTGAAATTTGGAGAACTTGATGTTTTTTCTTTTACTATAGTAAGTTTCCCAGGATCTTGTTAACAATCCCCCCCCCCCACAATAGGGGGAAATTTGTAACAAGGTACCTAATTCGTGTACGCTTTGCTGATCAATTCTCTCTTTATAAGTAGAGGGGAATAGTTAACAAGATCTATTTCCTATCTTTATGATGCGTTGCAGGGAAGGCGGAGCTCTGTTTATCTTCTGTTTACAAAAAAATAGTAGTGTTTTTCTTATTGATTTTTTGCCTGGTTTCAATTGTGAAAAAAAAATGATGTGAAAACTGTGGCAGCTTGTACATTGTATTCTTATAAGCCCGACAATACTGGTTTTACTTCGCTTTTCTGATTTTTTCAACCATTGAATTTGGAGAAAAATTTTGTCTTTGGGTATGTTTTAATGTTTGTTCCACGCAAAATCAGATAACACAAAAAATCATCAGAATAGGTCGAGTGTTATATTATATTAAAAAAACCTTTTCAGTCGTGTTAAGATCTATTTTACAACTTCCCAAAAAATATTCTGAGTTTCGAGAAAAACGGATTTGATTTTTTAAGAACTTTTAGTCCAGTGTGGGCAAAAAAGCGGAAGAGCAGGCTTTGTATAGATGACTAGGTCGTAAAATTTTCATTTGAGGCTTATTGAACAAAAAAACTTATTCAACTAAAAATAATTTTTTTAGCCTCATATTGAAAATGAAAAATTTCACAACTGAAAAAAAGTCTGCAAAAAATTGAAAATTTGAAAATTTAAGTTTTCGGTAGAAATTTTTTTTCTGGTGAGCAATGTACTTGGTGTATGCTGTGTTTCCGTGGGTCCTCCAGCCTACCACAAATCGTTCTGCTAGAAGTTAATAGAACAGCTCAGACCGCTTGGCACTAGACTTTTACAAACTTCACGACTTCCATTACTGTACTGTTCATGGATCAATGGATCAACAGAATCAATGAGACATTTCAAATGTTTACTCATGTTATAAAATCAAATTCCATGCCTTCTCAGGGAAATTGGCCAAATGGTAACATCTATGTCTGGGCTTACAAAGGTCTGTTTTTCAAACTGAAAACATATAGTTCATTCGAATAAATATTACAATTTTTTTTCAAACGAAATATATGTTTTCAGTTTGCAAAGACAGGCTCGGCTTATTCTTTGTCTGCCTAATGTTTTCTCTGAGTAGTTGCCACAGTGCGAATGTTTCTATTATATAAACAATTTTTACTCTAACTAAAAGCCATTTTGATTCATTTCTGTAATTTGTTAGTGCACCGAGCCTGATTAATTTTGTTCCGATCAGTTGAAAAAAGCGGAGGAAGTTTGTATTCAGTTTTATTTTCCCTCTCTTTTTTCCACTTTTTTCAGGTTTGGATCCACATCATCGGAATGGATCGAGTGATATACTATATCAAAGCGTGTTCAGTCGTGATTCGAACGATTTTCGCAGTGTTGAGAATAACCCGTTCGAAAATTTGATTTTTTGGTCTAATTTCCAGACAATAAGCTGAGCTGAGCGTGCAGGCTGATTAAAGCTTGATTTTGCTTAAATCAAACCGTGAACTTAGTTTCAATCGAGTGAAGTTAGTTATCTGAGTTTTTGTACCGATATGTTGGAAATCAAAAACTCAAATGTTTTCCAATTGGTCTCTATTACTATAACTGTCGAATATGCTTAAACTAAATTTATTCGTTCAGATCTTGTTATGACACCGCGCAGAACAAAAAACGGCATTTAATTTGATCCATTTTTTTGTATTTTTAAGACATTGTCGGGACATTCTGTGAAATTTGCACAAACCGGCTATTCTAGATATAGTTTTTTTTTGGGGTTGTTTTGCCTAGAGAGTACCGGCTTATGTTATATCGGCTTAAATAACAAATTTTGTTGTTTCAAAGAAAAGGAGATTTTTTTGCTTCAGAATTTCTTGACAACAGTTTCGTTTTGGTCCAAAACCGACGTCTATCTAAGTATTATCAGCTTTGTTGTCGCTCAGTATATTTCTTGAATGCTTGTTCAACGCTAATGATTGTGTTACCGGATTGCTTTGATCATATTGAACGTTATTTGGGTCAAACTTTCAAACTTAAATTTCTTCCAGATGTAGCTGAACGAAGTCAATCGAATAAAAAACTTTCATCAATATGAAATATCTGTGATTGAAATTTTGGAAACAGGGTTATTGTGTTTTTCAGAGTTGCCACACTGCGGAGGATGAACAAGCAGCTTCCAAACAAAACGCTTCTGCTTCTTACGTAAATTACATCCGACCGAAAAGTAGCAGTCCTTTAGCAGAATACTGCAACATAGATACTCTTTCATCTTCGCGAGGACCTGAAAGCAGTGGAATAAGTACAGGTAGTTCGTCCAATGTAAATTTCTTCGAGTTTCCCGACGAAAACGTTGCTAACAATGGTCAAAACAATGCTATTGTTGAAATTCATGGCAATGAGTCCTCCTGTAATTCCAAATCTGGAAAGTTGAGCATTATTTACTCCGAATTGGACAGTTCGGTGTGCTCCAGTTCGGCTTTTGATGTTGAAAATAGAAAGCGAAGCAGAAGTTTGGCATCGCGAGACACGAACAGCTTAATCGAGAGAAAGCGTCGGTCGGATCCTTCAGTCGAAGTTTCTTACTATCAACTGGATGTAGAAAAAACTCGAGCACTAGCTACGACAACTGAAAGTAGAAAAGCCGAGAACAAATTGAGAGAGAGAATGGCCATGCTCAACTCACAAGGCTCTGATTTACAGGGAGAAACGACATCCAAAAAGTTTGCTTCTAATTTGTATACAAGGCGGTCGTGGTCTAATTCTACGACCCGAGAGAAACGTACAACACTGAGTAGTGCCGCCTATTGGACAGGCTCTTGCTTAAGTATGCGTAGTTTCAGAAGGTCGCGATTCAGAAAGGGAGACAGATTTTCTGGCTGAAGGCGTCAGTTAACCAAAGACGCAACAATTAAATCTAGTTGAAAACTTCCTTCATCAGTTCGGAGAAAAACTCCATTAAGCAGTAAGCTTTGATTTATATATATTGTACATAAAAATAAAGATCACGCGTAACTTTGTAATTGGATCCAAGATATCGACAAACAAATCCCTGACCGCTTTGCAAACACGTTCCATTTTTAGGAAGAGTTTTTTAACAATTGATAATTTTAATCGATTTCTTGGAGTTTAGTCTTGTATATTTCTGATCGTCAATTTGTTTCTGAATTCTGTATACTTATGAAATCATTAATATAGCAATCTAAATAGTACTTTCTCATGGTTATGATGAGCAGAAAAATAGGTGCTGTATATTTAGCATACTTATTCAATTGGGCACCTTGTCATGCACAGTGACAGTGACCTTAGTTTTATGTTGATGCGCATGTATTAACAGCGCCTTCCTCTTTCCTGAGGCTAAATTTGTTCGTCGTTATTTTTATTTTTCACTTTGTTTTTGATGTTTGAGTAAATTTTTTGTCAATGATTCTGGCTGAACAAAAAATTGTAATGATAACTTAAATATTTAACAAAAGATTTGCTGTACTTTGGATGTAAGCTTCAAAAACTGTGCTATTCAAATGCCGATAGCTATAAATTGTTCGTTATAGCTATTAAGAGCTAAATATTTTGGGTCATGTACATCTTGTTATTTATTAATTGTTCAATTTTAAATCTCTTAACATTACGATGCCAAGCTGGGGTACTTTGGTAGTTGTTTGGATTCCTGGATTTAAGATCATTTATCCTCGGGGAAAAGGACCAACACAAGAGCTGTACAGCTCATCACGGCGAACCGCTGTTGTGCCCTGTTATAAGAACTACATGCAATTTTTTTGGTTATTTTTTTTTCACAACCACATTTTAAACTATTTAATTATGTATCAGCGCGGACCCTGTTTTTCATCACCTGATTTTTGCAGAGTGGTGTAGTTCCCTCCAGTGAACGTCTAATTTCAGTTAACTTGACAAAAATTTATGTCATCAAATGAATCAATTATAAACCTCTCAAATTTTCCGCAAGTCCTTTTCCGTTTCAATTACCTTTTAAAGGACCACCTTTTCCTACCTCATTTTACCCCTCCACCTCAACATTTAAGACAATTGTCCTAATTGCTGAGCGAGGATGCGGGTGGTGGGTTTGCTTCGTGGTAGTACCTGAAATTTTTGAGTTCCCAGAATGCATCGAAACTTTAATACAAGATAACTTCAAAAGCAGCTGTGTCATTGAAACGAGTGCTTAAAATAGACGCAAATGTAGGAACCTGCTAATAACATTCGGCGCGGTGACAATTGCAAATTTTGTCAATTTTTTTAGATAGGCTAAATAGAGTTTGCAGCTCTCCCAAATCACCAAGACCGTTAGGCAAACTTTTGAAAAAAAACAAGCCGAAAAAGCGTTTTAATATTTTTATATGCAGTATATATTTGCGCGGAAAACACCTCTAGAAACTTTTAGGGTTAGAGAGCAAAAAATATAGGTAATAAAATAGTACCTAAAGGTGGCCCTTTGGATAGTCAGAGGGCCCAATCCCAGAGGGGAGGGGGCTTCTGCGTCCCGCCCACCCTAAATCCGTTACAACGCGTGAGTTTGAAGCTTAATACTGCATTAAATCATCAGAAAGGAGAAGAGAAAGCAAACCTACGAATTATATCATAAATATCAATTTCTTAAGTTTGGTTTCTCATCTTGATTCCGATTGGTTAAAATAGTATTTGCTGCTTTTGACAAGTCTGAACACGCGGATGTCTACTTACAGACAGCACTGCAATCGGCGCGTAGACCGAATCGGTTTCCGAAAAATACGCAAGTTAATCAGGCTGTGAAGATTCAAATATTTAAATTTATTCATAGAATGAAATCGGGTCTGAAAATTACCAAGTTTTCAAATTTAACTATTCCTGTGTTGCAACCTTGAAATATTTCAAGATTTTATGTTGAGCAAACTGTTTCGCATAGGATTCAAGTTTTTCTATGCAAGCTGTAATAAAAAAAGTTTGAACGATTCAAATTGAAACTTTTATACAAAAAATTTGCATAGATATTTTTATTTTTCAAATGATTTCCGGAAAGCGAAAAGCTTAATATTTTCTATTGGAGCTATTCAACTGACAACAATTGGTTTCGGAAAACTCAAGTTTTACCTACGCAATTTAATCGGCCAATGAAACTTTAAATATTGAAATTTTTCATAGAATGAGTCAGTCCCTTTTTAAATTTCGCAGCGGTATACTTAAGCAGTGGTCAGAGACCCGAGTTTATATTCTTACCCACAACGTGGAACAAGTGCTTTTTAGGAAAGATAACTGCGATGATTTGATTGCCAACAAGGGCATATCTGTCGATTTCAATCGTCGACAAATTATGTAGGTCCTCTGGCCGTCCATGATCACTTTTTATCTTAACATAGCCTCGTCTTTCATAGTAGGACGGCTAGATTTGCTTTCAGTGGTTTCCTGACTTTGTAATGCAAAAAATAACAAATCGAAAAACTATACAAACAATCAACCCGTGAAAAAAAGTACATCACAGCACACCAGTCCTGCAGCTCAGACTGTTCCAACCATATTTGGTTGCCTTAGTTGAGAAGACAGCTGTCGTTAGTTTGAGCCAGAAACTTACACCTGTACATGCTCCAATTTTTCTTATTGCGTTTTTTTGATCAAATGTTTTTGAACCCAAATTTTCGACGTGCCTATTAGACTGGAAATATTTGGTTCAAGCACAGTAATCACCGCAGTTTTCTTTTCAAGGCTGTTGTTTTGAAGCTTATTTTTGCTGTGCCTCTGTGTTTGATGCTTATTTGAAACTGAAAAGAATAATTTTACACAAAAGTTTCTATATCCTGTTCCAAAAAAGCATTAAAACAAAGGCGCATCTAGACTTTTCAATAAGTCGGCGAGAAAAAAAATCGGCAAAACCAAGCTTTGGAAACTCCAGCAAAAATAAGCTTCAGAAAGAACAATCAACTTGAAAAAGGAAACTACTGAGATCACCGTATTTGATCCAAATGTCTCCAGTTTCTTGGCACGTCGGTAATTTTTGTTCAAAAAACTCCTTAAGAAATTTTGGAGTGAACAACGAACTGAAAAATACGATAGATAGTTCGACGACAAACAACCCATTAAGACTGGAGCCTCAAAATAAATGTTTTTTTTTGTAGAAGTATCCAGCATCCAGTTGTCAGGTTGATTATCTTTGCAACAAAAAAATTTTGGTATATGACTTCCAAAAATTTGGTTCGAAAAACTATTTTGAAGAAAACTAAAAAACCATTTTCTAACAAATCTTTTTGCCTAGTGTCGTTGCAGGGCTTGGTGCCATTTTTAGCAGATATCGGCGATTTTATGTTCTATGCGATGTCAGCGCTGGTAAATCTGTTTTACATAACCGATCAGTTTGATTGAGTTTCTGGCTTCACAAATGTTATTAAGATGCCAAATTTTGCTTTTTAACAACAATTTTGACAACAACTATTCACCGTCAAAACAGCGGAAACACTATTTGGGGGGCGTTCAACAGTGCCGAAGTACAACAGTGCCAAAAAAGGTGTGAAAATTTCAGAATAATTTACACGCATTTCTAAAGAGCGGGAAATTACTGACGCTAATTATCACAGAAAATCACTCCAATTGTGGCGCCAATCTGTCTGCAACTGCAAATTAAACAATTATTTTGGCGTCAAAACGTCTAAATTGCACATTTTCTTGCTCAAAATCTTAAAGTTTTACTTAAGATTGTAAACGATCGCTGTTCAATTTTTGATTGCCGCACTTAGTATGTTGAAATTTATTCAAACTTTCGGCACTGTTGAACAAAGTTTTCATTTTCGGCATTGTTGAACAAAGTTTTCATTTTCGGCACTGTTGTACTTCGGCACTGTTGTACTGCCCTCTATGCGGTAACACTTTTCACCGTCGAAACAGATTACGTTTGAGACGATCAGTGCATACAAAACACTTCACTGAATATAGACAATTTTCAGTGCAGTAAGGAAAACAATCAGAGTAAGAGATAATCATAAGCAAGAAGTTTAAACTTGATTGCTTGTATCAGGGCGAAACCCTGTATGTTCCTTTTAAGGTCCATGGAGTGGTAATAGCTTGAAAAAATTAAATGTAGCAAAAATAAAAGGAAATTTTTTTGCAAAAAACCATTGAGATTTTTTCTTTCTAAAAATCATCCCCCCACGCGCCATATAGAATACAGAGTGATGAATTTCGTTCTTAGTAACCCATCAATTATAGTAAATAGGCTTCTTTCAACCAATTTTAAACCAATTCTAAGACGGATTAAATCTCCGCTTGCGCGTTAATAGCACGAAATATATCTTGCGTTATTTGTCCCAAATTGGCCAAAATGGCAATCTTTAACCCCCCATAACTTTACGATAAATGATAACCTCAAGAATGTAACCTCATGATTACGTTTTCAAATGTAACCTCAAGACAACAATAATTTTTGAATGATATAAAAAAACCGTCGAAAAGGGCTAGTTAAAAAGTCAAAATTTGTCTGACAAAACCCACCCCGAGCACAAATGTTCCGTTATTTTCGTTACGAAAGTCGGAACAATTACAGAAAGGAAACACCTCTAGATTAAATTTTAAAAAAATTCACCCAAAGTCACAGACAGAACACTACTCTAAGCTAGTACGTGTTGAAAAATCTGTTAATTTTTGTTGAATCATTTCAGTGTAGCGCACAAAACTTTTTTATTCCAGAGGAGTTTACAAATAAAAAAGAGTGCACACAACAGTTCCATTGATTAACAATTTACATTTGACTAAGTTTACCAATGCGCCGAACTTTAAACATAATTAAAACAACGATATATATATAATTCTGTCGAACCCTACCATCAACAGAAAAATTAATGGCAAGTGATAAGTAAAAAGCGGAAATTTCGCGACTAGTACAATGATTTAATTATAAACCGAAATTTAATCAAGCAAAAATTTTTTCAAAATCAAAACTTTGATGAATCTTCAAAAATATGGCTGACGGCTAAGCAATACGAAGTATACAAACCACAAAACAATCTATTAAACTTTTCAACCTGCCTTTCGAAAAAATCATAGCCAAAAATATCAAAGAAAGAAAGCAACGTAAAATCGAAGCTGGCAAATGGATTCAGAAAATGAAGATACGCCGCATCAATCACAGCGAAACATTTAAGCAAAACGTAGAAAACATCAAGGAGGGGAAATGAAGAAAGATAACTAACTACAAAACTCTTACACAAGAAAAACTTTCCCATTTCCAAATTGGTATAACCCTAAACAATAAAATCTTTTCAATTAATAAACAAGGGAAAAATCAATACAAAAACCAAAATCATTGAGTTAAAAACCATCAATGACAAATTACAACTGCAACTGCCGAAAGCATTAATGTCAGCAGAAAGCTAAATGAAAAGAAAAACTAGTTTTATATTGTAAGTAACAACCTGAAATATGCAAGTAACGTTGTACAATCAAATGTTCCACTTCAATCAATTTATTAGATGCGCAGTAGTTCATCATATTTTGGGAGGATTTCCAATTTCATCGAACAAATCGCTAACAGGTCTCGGTCGGTGTTTAGGACCCCAAATACTCAGTACCAGACTATGTAAGCGCAGTGACAGCAATCTTTTTGTAGTTATAGGACCAGAACCTTACACCAAGTATGGATACGTAGATGAAAACTTTTAATACAAGCAACTCTCGAAAATGCAGCACAAAAATCTTTCTTGATTACTAACAAAAAGCAAAAAAAGCGATCGGAAAAGTCTACAAAAAAGTTTTCAATAATGATTCTGAAAACAATAAACAACAATAAAATTAAGCAAGGAAATCATTAAAAAACTTAAATATTTCATACCGAAGAAATTTGCAAAATTTTTTAATATATACAAAAGGCAAACTTTAAAGTTAACACATCAATTGAGAAATCATGCCCAAATTGTCAAAGATACGGTCGCTTCATTACCGATTGCAGGGTCAAACAATCGAACAACATGTTAAGAAAAGCAACACAAAAAAAAGAACCCAATGCATTTTTCCCCAATCAATGAAAGAATATCAATGTGCAGTGTAATAACTTTCCAAAATCCTATTTATAACCGTTCAGGAAATGTTCATAGCAAGATCACCGTAGTAGAAACACAGCACCCTTCTAATTTCAAAACTACAATTATCATACATCGCGACCACGAACAAGGTACATAAAACTAGACCACTGAAGGAGTTCAATCAGCTACCAATGTAATTACTGTGACAATAGTTACAAAGATCAAATGGAAACAACAACCGGCAACCCTACGACAACAGAATTTGCTCACTTTCTAGAGCTATCAAAAATTATCGTTGCTATCAAAAATTTTATAGCAATGACAGATAAAACAACGAGAGATATCGAATTAGAATTTGGATTGAATGAAAAACAATCGACGCAAAAGAAACAGCTATACTGATAAATACATATATATATATATATATATATATATATATATATATATATATATATATATGTATTTATCAGTATAGCTGTTTCTTTTGCGTCGATTGTTTTTCATTCAATCCAAATTCTAATTCGATATATATATATATATTTATACATATATATATATTTATACATATATATATACATATATTTTTATATATATATATATATATATATATATAAAACCACAACCTTTAGATAAAAACAGAACAGAGAGGGGCCATAGTTATAGAACTTAGACAACAAAAACTACAGAAGTAATACACCAAGTAAACGAATAGGATAAATGCATTGCACCTTGGATTGACAAAAATTAATATAAAGAAGGTACATTCATACAAGGTACATCATGAAAACTCAGACAATTGGGAAACAAAAAACTTTAGGAACAATTATGTTTTATATGCTAGAAGATAAAACTATCACAAGAAGTCAATTGATGCCATAAGTTTTGTTGGAACACTCATCAGAGAGTAACAAATCTGATATGCAAAAAATAAGTGAAAAATTTTATATTTCAACCACATCTAACCATGTCAGTCAATTAATGAAAACATTAAGTTTATTTTGAAAACCAACAACCCTTAAATCATTTAGAAATTTTATGAAAGCCTTATACAAAGATCCACGACTGACAACTTTATAAACTTGAAAAAAAACTTTAAATTAGAAAACACCATTGTTTTCCAAACAAACTAATTAACAATTAAACTGTAAATGTTAGTGCGCAGAAACAAACAGTTACTCTTGCAAACTGAAACAAAATATAATTACGGAACCCAACAGTTCTATTACAAACTATCTCATCAAAAGATTACGTAGCGAGGGAAAACATCTCTCAGCAGCTATTTTTTTAAAATCGTTTTTAGGAATATTTCTTGTCATTAATTTTCAAACATTTGTTTTTGGCAAACCCTTTAGGCAGAAAGTATAACAACAAATATAAAAATTTTTTAAAAAAACTTGGATAAAAAGAATAGTTGATTTAACTTTTGCCGCAAAATTATTAAACAACCACTATTTTAATAACAATTTTATTCTACGTTTTAAAATATACAAAAAATGCAAATTCAGTATAACACACTTCTAGCACCAGTTCATTTCAAACAATTTTTTCAGATATTGAGCTTTGACCAATAGTCAACTGTTTTCACTTATAACAAATATCTAATTTATAAGCAAAACAAACGGGAACTGTTAATGTAGAGTTACGTATATATCAATAATCATAATAATCATAATCATAATAATAATTCAGCAAAAAACGATACCCCGAGTTGATTTTAATCTATTTATTTTAATACTTTATTTTAATTTTCAGAAATGTTTCATTCATTTCAAACATTTAAGAATTCGTATAAAAGCAATATCACTACAATTCTCCCATATTTGATAATTGAATGACTGAGCATTTTTCTTATAATGAAGATTTATGGACACAAATGCAACTTAAGTTATCAAGATAAATAATAATATCCGAGCTTCGCATTAAGTTTTTGCATTTGTCCGGGCGAACAAATACTCAAAATTTTCTCAAATGAAAACAACCTATAGGTTAATTGCCAATGTATTCACAGATAACCTGCATTAGAAGCTTTGCCTTATAAGATGACATAATGAAGATAGCATGAACATATATTAAAAAAATTAATTTTTTGTCTATGGCTAGAAAACTTCTACTTTGCAAATTTCCGAGGTTGGTAATCGTTGCTTGGTTTTTTGGTGGAATTTTTACAGATTTTTACAGATTACGCAAAAACTTGGCTTTTACACATAACTTTCATTGCGATTTTTGGTGATTTGTGTAGAAAAATTGAGTCTGGACTACGTTATAAAAAATGACAGTTCACATTTTTGATCATACAGTTTCATAATGGTCGAATGCTATTGATACACCCATAAATGAGAATTGTATGACCAGCATTTTTTCATTGACAATTTCTAAGGATTTCTTTAATGAGATTTTTCAGTGTATGGATTTCAACTTCGGCGCTAGGAGACAAAGGTTACTCAGATGTTGCGAGTGTAAGATCACATTCCAAGAACTGCTCAAGAAAGCGTGTAAAATAAATTGAAAAAATTTTTTTGGCGCACGTCTTTCAACTAAAATAGATAATACATTTCAATTCATCACTTTTAAACAACAAAAATAAAAACACAGACTGTTTTGTAAAAGCACTATATTCTAAACCGTAATCTAGACTTTTCGAT